TTTTTTTGATTGGTTGGTTTTTGGTTTTTGGGTTGTTTTTTTTTTGTTTTGTTTTGTTCTGTTTTTTTTAAGCTTGTGGGTTTTATTATCCTTACTTGCGTGGCGCGTAAAGTAGGTAGGAAACCAAAGAAGACTTAGGCATCCCTGCTACCACCAGAGGAACGGTGAAGAGAATAACTTCCCCTTTGTCTTTCTTTTCAGGCAGGCCAGACCCTTCTTTACAGTAGGGCCAAGGGAGAGCAGGGCCGGGAGCTTGAGACCCCCGTCCCGCCGCCCCTTGCACACCGAGAGGCGTCCCAGGAGCAGGGCAGTCGCGCAGGGAAACCGGACCCGTAGTTGGCGGGATGTCCCTCGGGATAAAGTGGTAAAGTGTTAAGGGGACTTTTTGTTTGTTTTTTTAAGATTGATGTAGGCAGAACCTCTCGTCTCTGTTTCCCTGTGTCAAGCAAGAGACGATGATTCGTGAGCTGACCCTCCCGGCTCGCCGGCTGCGGGGCTGGCTGGGCTCTCCCCTTTCGCCTCTCTCCTCCGGCTAATGTCTGAGGCGAGACCGGGCCCCCAGACCGCTCTGGGTCACGCCGAAATCCTCGGCCAGACGCTTTAGGCGCTTCTAAATACGCACATCCCATTTACAATAGATATTGTATCTATCAGCAAATTCAGGTAACAAAATGGCAAACTGCAGCTGGTTCTCGCTGGTCTCAAAGCGCTGAAACATTGTTTCGTCTTCCGCACTCCACTGGCTGGGAAGGGTGACCCAAATAACACTTTCCCCAGAATAATTAATTAAGTGTAGTAGGAACTGGAGTGGACGCGGGGTATGTATGGCTCTTGGCACGAGCCTGCATAATAAGAGTCCTTGGATTCTGGTCTAGGTTTAAAAGGTGGAACTTCAGTGACAAAGTTGCACGTCTTCTTGTGAGTCGTTCTAGCGAGTTAATATTTTCAGTGATATTTTTATTTAAAGGTATTTAATTAAACGCGCTGCTTTTCTTTATTTAATTTATTAATGAGAGTATGTTTACGTCGTATGTGTGAAACAGTACTGGTGAGCAACTTACTTAAATCACTGCCCTGGAATAAGCTACTCGTTGATACCACCAGCCCGTCCCGACTTTGTCTTATGCGCTTGATCAATATCATCTATTTCGGCGCAGCCGATGAAACGGATTTGAAGAAAACTTTACGATTAGAGTCCCACGCACTGGTTTGGCTGAGAAGGGAATGCTGCAAGGGTCTCACCTGGAGTCGGTGAGGGCGAGTACATCTCACGGGGATGACAATATCTGGAGTCCGGTGCAGGAAAACCAAGGACAGGATCAGCCTTAAGGAACGTTCTGTTCCAACAGAAAGCACACAACGACGATAACGGCTGCTTTGAAAGCTGTGGTCTTTTAATATTTGAATGTAAAAGAGAAAATTGACACTCACACACACGCATCAGAAAAATCCACAATTACATTTCATTCTTTCAAGCGCCTCTCCGCCGTTTCTTGCCTCGGCAAAGTGAATAGCCTAGGGGACCTTCTCGGGAGCATCCCTGGCCGCGCAGCCTGCCCCCCCTCTTCCTGCCCCCGGGGCTCAAAGGAGCGGAAGGAGCTACCCGAACCGCTGTGGGTGCCCTGGTGGGGAGCGGGGCTGGGGTGCCCAAAAGAGAAACGACTGCGGGGAGCCATCCCGAGAGTCGGCCGCCCCCTCCCCGCCCTGCAGACGGGCAAAGCCCTGCCCTGCCCTGCCCTGCCCTGCCCTGCCCTGCCCTCCCTTCCCCTCCCTTCCCCTCAGTCCCTCCTCCTCCTCCTCCTCCTCCTGCTGCTGCTGCTGCTGCTGCTGCTGCTGCTGCCCGCCTCCGCCTCCACCCCCTCCCCCGCGGCCGGGCCGGGCCGGGCCGGGCCCGGTCGGGGCCCTTGACGTGTCCCGGCGCCGATTGGCCGCCGGCCGATAGGATCTCCGCGGCCCCGCGTTAAGGCGGGGGAGCGCGCGGCGCCGGGAGCAGAGTGCTCCCAGTATCCCGGCTCCGCCATCCCGGCCGGTCCTCCCGCCCGCCCCGTCCGGGCAGCGCCACACCGAGCCGCGCTGCGTCCCTGCACAGTGGCCATGGAGTACACGCCGCCCCCCAAGCCACAGCTCTCCTCCCGGGCCAACGCCTTCTCCATTGCCGCCCTCATGTCGAGCGGCAGCTCCAAGGACAAGGAGTCCCCTGAGAGCACCATCAAGCCTCTGGGTGAGTGGGGACGGGGGTGACCGCCGGTGTCCGCGGGGTGCGGAGCTCCTGTCCGTCCGTCTGTCCCTGTCTGCCCTGGCTCACCCTTCTCAGCGCTCCGGCAGCCAAGCCGGGCAGCGGCACGTCCCCCCTGCCCGAAGGTTTCCCCTGCAAAGCAGCACCACCTAAGCTTGAAGGTTGAGTGCCTTCATCATCTACGGTCGTTTTTAGGCGAGGATGTTTATAGCATAAATTCCTCCAGTTTTAGTTTAATGCCTCTTCTTCATCCAGCTTAGCCATTTGTAGAATAATCCCACTCTTTAAGGTAGTTCAATTTCTCTTCGCTGACATGAATCTCTTAAATATTTATTGCAAATTCACCCTGGTTCTGAAGTCAAATTACAGACTCTCTGTTGTCGTGCCTAGGCTTACAAGGCGTAGTAAAACTTGTGCGTCGAACTGAAAACCCCTTTGCTCCTCGATGTAGGCTCATATAGGCTGTTTTGCTCTGCAGAGACCAGGAGGAGTTTTTTTGTAAGTGCTTGCGATTTTCGAGTAAGAGATTTCGCTTCTATTTGGTTGCCTCGATTCAGAATCCTGAAAGTTTTCAAAAAGCATTAACATATTCCCTTTCTTCCCCCCCCCCCCCCCCCCCCCCCCCCCCCCCCCCCAAGTTTCTGCGGTTTGTCATCCTTGCGTGTATCCAGGAGTTCGCAGAAAACTACAAAATATGTGTTAAGCTTTCAGGGCGCCGATGAACAGGATTACATCCAATCTTAAAAGAATTTTAAAAAGGCAGCTCCTCAGTGTCTGCTGCACCTAATCAGCTATCTCAAAAGATTTCACATAGTCTAGGGATTCATTGTGAACTTTAACATAGGTCCAGTCTTAAGTCTGGGCGCTAATGTAGGCCGAGTATTCCCGGTTGGCGTATTTACGTGGGTTTGCGTTAAACTTAGTATTAGTGGGTTTGGTTTTCAGGGTTGTTTGTTTGTTTGTTTGTTTTTCTTTTTTCCCTGAAAACGCTTATTTAATTTAACTTTTCAATTTTTTTAAACCCCTTCTCTCATGTCGTTCAACTGAAAATCGAAGGGAAACGACTGCCTGTGACTCGGCTTTTATTAACTGGAACTTTAGGCAAAACCTTTCCCTGGAGGGCTAGGGCGCCTTCGTGCTCCTCCCGTTCTTTGGCGCCGGGCGGCGGATCCGTCGTCGCATCGCGGGGCCGGGCAGAGCCTTCGCAGCCCGGCTCCCTCCTTGCCTCTCCTCCGGCGGAAACTCCCAACCGAGCTGCTGAAGCTCCCGAAGCCTCCCGGGGCTTGTGGGGGTGGGCGGCAGCAGGAGCCAGGCGCGGCGGGCGGCCAGCGTCGGCAGCAGCTACTGCACCAGCGTAGGTTGCGCGGCCGCACGCAGCTCCCCCGGAGCCTGTTTCTCCAAAGGAGCGGGCGGATTCAGTGTCAGCAAACCGGCTGTGAGAAAGGCAGACCTAGCTTTCCAGCAGGGTGAGCCCCTGCTCACTGTTTAATTAGTATTAGGGTTCTCTTCCTCGGGAAAGAAGCGCGGAGCCTGCGCGGCCGCACTCGGATTCCTTCTGCGTTGTGCTCTCTGCCAGCGGCGCAATCCAGGAGCAGCCTCCCGCGCTCCCCGAGCGTGACCCTGGCCTTCAGCAGCCCCTCGGAGCCCGACGCTCCCGTTTTAATGAGAATTAGTGACTTTTCTGTGGAACCCCTCGGTTAGCGGGGGAGGCAGCGCGCAAGGCTGGCTCTGCCCCGCCGTGCCCCGCGGAGCGGATCACAGCCGGGCTGCGGCAAGGCCGGGGCCACGCTGCTCCCGCCGCACCCCGGGCGTCTCTCCTGGTGCGCCTCGGGGGAGTGGCGCCTCTCCGAGCTCTTCCCGGAGTTCGCCTCCGAAAATCACCACCGCTGCCCTCAAATGATGAGCGGACGCCTAAAGAATCGGCTGGGTCTGAGGGTGTGCTGGGGCAGAGCGGGGGCAGTTGAACGATAAATGCCTTATATATATTTATTTATTTTCTTTTTTTAATAGTTCATCTCGGT